GCGTGCGTGGCTATGGTTGAGGTGGAGGGTGCCTTGGCGATATGACGGCTTGCCAGATGTCTTCGTGACAACCTGCGTGGAGTTTCCCTCCCACACCGCATAGTTCTGACTTCGTTCGCCTAAACAACTTCAGCCTAGCCCACGGCTGGCATTCGTAAAAAGAGAAAAGTCAAACTTACTATACGGTTACAGACACACACACGATGGACAATAGAAATGACTGGCAGGAATAACCTTTGGTCGGGTTTGTCCGATCTCAGTTGGCAGCGCCCTCCGCTCCATCGCTCATGTCCACCTTGCCTCGCTAGGGGCTTCTTAAGCTTTCCCAAAGTGAGCGGAGCGCAGTGCAACAGAAAGCCCCCCCGCTGAGTCCATCAATTTGATGGGAGGTGCTGCGCCCTCCCCCGCACCCCCTCCGCACTGGTCGCTTACGATTTCAGCTGGCAGCGCTCTCCGCGTTGTCGCAGAATCCAAGTCGGCTGGCTTCGCTCGCATCGCGGACTTTCTTCTGAAACCTATACACTTTGCACCATGAGCGGTCCGCTCACTCTTGGGCTGTCCCTTTGTCCAACCACTTTGGCTTCGTATGTCCCCGCCCGCTTCGCCTCGCTTCGCTCAGCTGCACGGGCAGTGACGCGAAGCCAAAGCGGTTGGACAAAGGGACAGCCCAAGAGCGAGCGGAGCGCAGTACAGCAGAAAGATGTTTCATGAGAGGATAAGCATGGTGCACTCGGTTTGTTGGAGAGCTCCGCTGCCACGCTTGGTGCCCACTGTTTACTACAATGTTATTCTAGTTACCCAGAGCAACCGGCAACCCCGCGCAGTCCACATTTGAAATGTGATGGGGGCTCGCTTCGCGAGCCCCGCGGGGGAGGCGCTGCGCCCTCCCCCGCACCCCCTCCATGTTTTTTTTAAAGCCCACCCGCCTGCGTGCGCTGCCGCTCGCCTAGAGACCCATGGTCTTTCCCTTTTAACGTTACCGCGTCACTTAGGGGGCCGCCGACTTAAGTCAAGTTATAAGTTATATAGCTAAGGTTTTAAGTTGCGTAACGTATGTCTTCAGGTGGAGAATTTCTTGGCTGAGCGGATATAGGGCCAGACTTGGGAGACTTTATATGAAGTTGTATAATAAGTAGGTTTAGTACACTGAGACAATCGGCCTGTTTGGACATAGCGGACTTAGCACGACTTAGCGGACCCACAGATTTTTAAACCCTTTCGATAGAACTTTGTACCAAACACATGGAAAAAGGAAGTATACAGGAAGCAGGACCTGCCACTTACTGGCCGACTGTCAGTTTGCGTTGGATGCTTGCGGTCTACTGCTGGCTCCTGCGTATCGCGTGGAGAGCGCGCTTGGCCTACTGGGGCCTCTGTAGGACAGCCTATAGAGAAGAGAGGCGGAGTCAAGCACAGCCCGTGAGGAGAGAAAAGTGATGAACAGTGAGTGTCTCGTAAATGTCTCGTGGGTCGGACAGGGGTATAGTCTCCGCGATGTCTCGTGGTGTCTCGCAATATAGCAGTAAAGGTGGGACGTCCCCCTAAACATAGCACGGTGAGATGTCTCGCGATGTCTCGTAAGTGTCTCGTGGATTCACGCACAACGTCGAGATTCGGTGGTATTCATTTTTGAGGGCATGCAGCCAGGCTCAAGAGAACAAGTGCGTACAGACATATAGCCAAGTGTCCCTTTTCAGTAAACTGCGTGGCGGAGAGACGTGATGGACGAGTATATATAAGTTGCATATTTCATTATATGTTGACCGCTCTGATACACTTTGCACCATCGAAAACAAGAAAAGACATTTTTAATAGAACAAGGCGGTGGGAATCATGATGCGTTACACGGACTTACTGGCCCGACATGGACTTAGGTCTAAGCGGACCTATAAGTCACTTATAGATAGGTTTCATAAGTCAAGTTACAAGTCGGCGGCCCCCTAAGTAGCGCTCTCCAAGTCGTCACAGAATCCAAGTCGGCTGGCTTCGCTCGCATCATCTTTGGCCTGAAGGTTCATCGTGTTGTCTTCAAAACATGCGCCGCCTTCAAGAAAAGTCTCCGTCTCTAGTTGGAAAGAGCCAAAGCTGCAAGTCTATACCGAGATCTTCGTATGAGGCGCTCTTCCAAAAAGGTTGCCTTTTACTGTATGGCGGCGTAAATTGTACGGCTGCGGCTTTTCTGGATTTTGTGGCGGCGTTTTTCGTGGTTGGCTCGAAGTTGTTTAGTTGGGTGATTTGTGCCCTTCGTTGGGTATAGTTGTGTCAAACCCCGAAGGTTGATGAACGCGCCCCAATATGTGAACTTCTTGTCAACATACCTACCGGTAACCTTTGAGAAGATGCGGAATTGGTGCAGTGCGTGACATTTGCGAAGTTTGCCGGAAAAAATGGTGGCCCACGTAATGGTGGCGTAAATTCCCGCAATCATTTGTTCGTCAACCATGGCTGAGATTGCTTGGCTTATCAGGGTGTAGCATACACATGAGCACAAAAACTCTTGTTAGGGGGTGGTCAATTGTCAGACCTTGCGCAATGACCTTGGAGAATGACCCTGAGTACCAGAAGTTGGGTAAAGTTGAATAAATTTGGCAATGGGAATCGTAGAGCGGTCAGGGATTTGGGATTGCGATGACGTCATCGTGGAGGTGAGTGTGGGGTTCGGTTTCTACCTGGTTTTACTTGGGCAATCTAACTGAGTATCCTTGAGCTTGGCGCGGAGGAGACATGCACCATCCTTCCCCATGTATGGAATACGGCGTTTTGTTTTTCTGGCGGCGAATTTTTTTGGACGACGGCAATTGTCCACTCTGGTGGCAAAAATTTTGGCCACAAAGGAAAGCGGCACGTTTTTCGTCAACCAGGTGGATAAACAACCAACAAGAACATGAACCGAGCAAGCAACAAACTCAACCAACCGCCTGCGCCTGCCACGAAATCAGATTTTAAGGTGAACCCTCTGCGGCAAAACCTTTTAACCAACCAACTACAACGACAACAACCGCAACCGCCATCAACACAAGCCAGACCAAACAACCAACAAGAACATGAACCAAGCAAGCAACAAACAAACCAACATGCTGAGATAGTCCGCACTGCGCAGTCTCTTTGTTTTTTCTTTGCAGCGAACACTTGTTTTCTTTTAGCCAGCCAACCGACCAACCAAGCAAGCAAGCAAGCGAGCAACCAAGCAAGCAAGCAAGCAAGCAACCAACCAACGACCAAACCGGGAACAGAAAACACCCAACCCAAATCCACCTACAAGGGAAAGAAAAACTGTGCGCGCGGGAAGGGAAAACGCCCACCGGGAACGGAGAGAAACCGAGAACAGAAAACGCCGACCAAACCGGGAACAGGAAACACCCACCCAAAGCGGGAACAGAAAACACCCAACCCAAATCCGTGTGGGAAGGGAAAACGCCGACCAAACCGGGAACAGAAAACACCCAACCAAGGGAAGGGAAAAATTGTGCGCGAGGGAAGGGAAAACACCATGGGAAGGGAAAGCACCAAACCGGGAACAGAAAACACCCAACCCGATATGGGGTGGATGTTCATGTGGAAGACATGCGTATCGGAGGAGGACGTGGTTGGCAAAGAGTGATTGCGAAGAATCTTTGTGTTTCTTGGGGGTGCCCTTTTTTAAGCGCGAAAGCCATCCGATAGGCTAGGCTGGAGTTGGGGTGGGCGAGCAAAGTGAGTAAAGGGGTGTGGGGGGGTGGTAGCAGGAAGTCCAGAGCCCGGTGGAGGAGAGCGAAGAAATCTTCTACCAGGGGCGGGATTTCATGTCGATGATAGGAATGGGGGTGACGGACACGAAAGGTGGTTGGATTGCGTCTCTTGTAACCAGTGAAATAGCGTTCGACTTAGGGTTACAAGGAGGTGTGTGTCGACTTCGTCCCATTACAATGCTATCCTGAGCTGGATGTTAGACGCCCGCCTGATCTTGGCCGTGACGTCGTGTACAAATCAAGGATATAACGATCAGCGCGCAAGCGCCCTTTGGGGTGCCTTTTCTCAGCCCCAAAGCACCCTTAAGTCAAAGGAAAAAGGGTTAAGGGCGCGCCCCAACCCTATATCTTCTGCTTTCTATTACCGACCCTCTAACCAAGCGATTCTTTGCCCGAGGTGAGATGCTCACTTGATCTTGGCTGTTTCATCAGACTGAAGTCCTATCTATATCTTCTGCTTTCTATTTCCATCAGCAGTAGACACCACCGCCATGTCGACTTCCCCCCGTAACAGTACGACCCACTCTTTACAGCGTGCCAAGTTTATGTGCCCGCAAAAGACCGTAAACAAGCAATGACTTTGGGGTGCCCTTTTTTCTCTTCCAAACGCTCCTTCTTCGTCCAACAGAAAAAGGGCACCCCACCCCGCCCCCACCTCTGACTGAAGGCCTGTCATATCAGCCCCGCCTTATATCTCCCAGCGCTTCCCCTGCACTCTTGCGTTCACCCCCGTTGGCCATATTCATATTTTCTTACGGAGGCTGGCTTTCGCGCACTCCCTTCTCAGGTGGTGCGCCCGTCAACCATACGCAAAGGGCACCCCATATGGGGTGCGAGTTCGTGTGAAGGATGGGCATAGCGGGGGTTTCTGCTTTCTATTGCCCATCGCAGGCCGCTCTCTGCCCGATGTGACACGCTCACTTGACTTTGGCGCTAACTGACGTCGAGGTGCCCTTTTCTCTCTTCCAAACGCCCCTTCAACCACAAGAAACCTATCATTTTGGCCCCGCCTTATGCCTCCCAAAGCTTCCCCTGCACTCTCGCACTCGCCCCCGCTGACTAATTCATATCCCCTTATGGACGCTGGCTTTCGTCCCCTCCCTTCTCAGGTATAAATGTTTGCCGTTTGGTTTTGCACGTCGACTCTTCAGGGGCAACGCGCCGTGAGTGCCTTTGCCCCACTTCAGCTGAGGCTCCGCTACTGCCTGCGCCAGACCTGAAGGTGCGGAAGAAATGGTTGGAGAAGTTGTTTGCAACGTTTGGTTCCGACATGCGCCTTGATTTTGCTTGATGCAGTGTCTCGGTCCAAGTTGCTGATGTCACAGGTGCAAACTCAACTTGTAGTCAAACAATCAATTTTTGACGTACTGTGATTGTGCATTTTGCCAACATGTTGGATGCAGCCATGGATGCGAACTTTGCCTTGTCCATCATGTTGATTGGAACAGTTGCGTTACTCTCCAAGCCTTCACATGCCTCAAAACACGCAATCACATAAAGTGCAAACGCAGCCTTGGGAGGCATCTTTTCTTGCCCAGGTTTATTTTGACCTTGTTTTATCTCCTGAACTCCAATGATAAGGATGTGAAGCGCTCTTTGGTCGAATGTTTGGTTCAGGCAATTTGCAGTTGAGGATTGCAACAATCTTTGAGAATTCAACCAGTTCCCTTCTGTGCAGCGCAGAGGTTTCTCTTGGGGCGTGCTGAGTGCGTCAATTTGCACCTTTATGGGTGTGCGTCTGGGAACTGCGTACAATGCAAATTGGAGCTACTATGAATCTTGGCTGTACTGTAGTGACACTGTAGTGACCTTTTTTGCACGCTTTGGTTTCGTGGCAGGTTGCTGGTCCTGATGCTTCCGAAGAGAGCGCCCCAACTTGAACAGAACAAACTGGTGAGACTGAGGAATCGTTGAGGTTGGATTGTTTCTATTTATTTATATATATATAATCAGAGGGGCTTGCAAAAATGACTCTCACTTTTTTTGACTCTCAGTTTTCTTGTTTCTGACGCTAATGATTTTGATTTTGATACTAAAGAAGAGGGGGAGGAAAAAGATGAAGATGCTCTCAGTTTTCCTATTCACCTTTGATTTGGATGCTAAAGCAGAAGGGGAGGAAGAAGAAGAAGATTTCTTATCTTATGGTTCATAATGATTCATAATCTATCTTTTAAACAGTTGAGTCTGAACTTGAGGACACATTTAAAAAAAGTTAAGTGAGTCTTGTGGACCGTCAAGTCTGAATGGCATCATGTATGTATAAGCGAGTCTCTCTTGGAGAATATGCTTTGGACAGTTGAATCTAAATTTGAACGCCGTATAAGTGATTCATGTAACTGACTATTTTGAACGGTTGAGTCTGAATGCTGCATTATGAATTAAAAGATGGTCTGGGGCGGGGGGAGGGGGGGTAAGGTGCCCAACACCCCAAAACACAACGCCCAAGAACAACTGAAGTGTCCTTATAATATGTCAGGATGTCTAGAATCACTCTAGGGTTGGTAACATGTTTATTACTAAATAGTGGAGCGGAAAATATCCTTGGCGCCAACTCAAACCAATTTGTTTAAAGTTTCTTCAGGTTTGCCATATTTTGCTGATAAAATAATGCTCTACCCCCACTCCGCTATCGTGATCTTCGCTCTTGATCATCGTCACTTTGGAGCTTGGACTCCACTCCAATCCATTCCACTCCATTCCGCCACACTCCACCACTGTCCCCAAAACATTGTGTATGTGCATGTGTGTCCAGCATGTGTATGTGCATGCGTGTCCAGCATCACTCCGCATGGACCATGCGAAAGCTACTGCATGGATCCAAAATGATGCTGGAACACTAATGGCGCCAATTTTGCCCCCCAGCACCGACACGAGGGTTCTTGAGTAGTCATATTCCTTGCCTGGCCCCGGGTCAGAGATTTCTCAATAACCCAGCTGATCCGTCAGGACCCCTTTGATTGGGGATTGGAATTGCCGACTTGGGGGTCCCTGGGGCTGGCTCTGGCCACCACCTCGGGTGGAGAACAGGGATAGACTATGGCGCCAAGCTCAGGAGTCCTCTTTTCATGTGTTGAGGTGAGCTTTGGGGAGTGAGAGCCATACAGTATCATACAGTATCATACAGTGTATGCGTGCAGCACATAGCCTCCGCACCACTCCACTCCACGCCACTCCACTCCAGTCCAGTCCAGTCCAGTTCACTCCACCACACTCCACCGATCTCCACCGCTTGCAAAAGGAACCCAGTAGCAAAAGGAAACATGGTTCTGGTATGTTCTGGTCATTTCTGGTCTTTGTTTTCCACTTGAGGGGTGTTGGAGTGAGGATGCATTTCCCTGGAGCAATCAGTGCTCCATAGTGCGCCCACTTTGGAAGGCTTCGCGATGAAAAGGTCCCTCAACACAAACTGGGGGACAGACACATGATATCACGTGATGATTTGGGGAGTACCTTATTGCAAGTCAGACAGTCTCATCCAGGCACCATCCACCCATACTGATCACGAGGTTCGTATCGGCTTCACATGGAGTGGTGGAGTTTGTTCTGATATGTTCTGAATTGTTCTGATATGTTCTGATGTTTGATTGATTTTGATTGTCTTGGCATGTCTTGGCATTGTTTTTCTGGTGGTGTGCATGTCTAAGCGCTGGAAAAGCCGCAGGCGCTTTATACCCCCGTAAATGCTTTTCAACAATCTTCAACTCCCCCACTTAGTGGCCACCTTGATTGATGATTATTGTGATGATGTCAGGGTCATTCATAAACTTGCTGAACATCGTGGCCGATCTGATCTAGACCCTCGCCCATCTGAGCCCTGTGACAACACAAAGACAAGTAGCGAGGGATTTTTTCAACCTGGCATTGGCCGGTGCACTTTCTTTGATTATGGTGTAAACGTCAATTGTTCTAAGTCGCCGGCCTTGCTGGCTGATGAATAAATCAAAAATAGATCACACTCAGACTCAGACTCAGATGCAGACTCAGACTCAGACTTGAGAAACATGCAAAGTGACAAGCAGCGGCTGGCGGCTGAGGAAGACTGAGTTTTGAACAATGCGGCCTTAGCGAAAAGGAACACATGAATCTGAAGCCAAGGTCCACGGAAAAGGAAAGCATGTGCCTTCAAACGTCATAGCCGGTATACAGTATTATACACATATACACATGTACAGACAATTGACCATAACTTCCTGCGATGGCCTTTTTTTCCACATCTTGAACGCTCTATGGGTGGGGATCTGTTTTAGATCCATTCCGTGCCTTCAAAAAGGCCCTAGAGGGTTCTTCACCATAGTCCTTGCCAAACTTTTGGAACTTTGTCATGGGGTGACCGCTGCTGTTTTGCAAGTTCTGACTGAACACCCACATGGTGGATAACTCTTATTCCAGGCAAAACTTGCCAATTAATTAGTAATAGCCTGGATTGCTGCACGATCCACCCAGCCTACTTTGCTCTAGATCTCCTTCTCGAGGCTGTGAAGTTGAACGCTGGTTGTGATCATGGCATTTTATATTGTGGTCATAAGAGCTGTACTTCAAAGTCTGCCACAGATACCAAACACTTTTCTCCATCGCGTCAGCCACATCGTCCGATTTGGCCCGTCGCGAGTGCTCCATGAACGCTTCGAACCACCTTCCGCCTCCACAAGGCGTGTCGAAGTGCTTGCGTCCCAGCAGACGCAACAGCAAAGCCGGGATTTTGTGGCCCAGCCGAGGTGCATCAGCGCGCAGGTGCCAGGCATCATGGTTGACGTTGCCTTGGTTGAAAAAGGAAGCAACACAGTCAACACAGATTCAACATGGCGGCGTTTTGTCATGGAAAATGTGCCCGACCAATACAGACTTAAACATAGAATCTTGAACCATCCGACAAATCATTAAACATGAGCGAGGCACGATGATCCAGGGAGTATTCCTCAAGGAGTTCTGGGACACCGTGGCGCTCCAGTTCT